TATATATATATATATATATATATATATATATATATATATGGGTTACAATTCGTAAGGTATGAATTAGACTCTTATTGAGTTTGTAATCCATCACAAATAAAAACTTTGAGTTCATTACTCAGATCATCTAACAATCCAACAATTCAAAATTATCTAGTAAAACATGTTTCTTTTTGTTGGTACTATAAACATCGCTTAACCATGTCTATTTATTTACAAAGTCACTCAACTACTTAAATATTTTTGTTTTAACCTCTAAATTATCAACTTTTGTTATTTTTTTTAATAATATGATTGAACTTTAGGCAAAAATGATTGATATTGAGTAGTCATATATAACTTCAAACTTTGTCAAATTTAACTTCTGACATAGCGGATTTGAAGTAATAATATATATAGTTTTTTGTTTTAAAAAAAAAAGATAGATACACGTTTAATGGAGATGTGAAACAGAATGTCTTATGAAAATTTTGCATAAATCAGTCGATCAAAATAAAAAGTTGTGTTGGTCTTTAATTTTTATCCTCATGATTATTAAAAAAATGACGGGACATAAGTTTATATTTGTGCATTATAATATCTGAAATTATATTCGACATGTTAAAAAACTTATACTCATTAGATATTTATTTGATTACTTAGGACAAAAACTAAAGACCAGACAAATCGCACGATTAAATGGGTCAAAGGCAATATGAGTCCATAAAATAATTGGGCCTATATGCATGGGTCAGTTTTGGGTTTATTTGGGCCTTGAAAATTTGTCAATTCTACTGAATTGCTTCTTCTCTGTTCCCGCCGTCACATCGCCGTTTCCGGCAGCGAGTAAAAATCTCCGCCACCGTCAACCTCCACCGTTGCTCCGTCATCTCACTGCAACTCCTCCACCTCCGCCGTGAACCGCCGTTAAAAGAATCGAGAAAAGCCATCATCTTTGCTCCGTCATCTTACTGTAACTCCTCCTTCTCAGTCGTCACACCGCCGTCGACGGCGAATCCACTCAAATTGTGCAAAATATGGAAGTAGAGAGAGTTTTTATTGGAGTAGGGTGTAATAGAGTAGTGTATAACGTTTCATGGGGTGCTTCTGGTTTAGTTTCTTTTGGTGCCCAAAATGCTGTTGCCATTTTCTGTCCAAAGGTTCTTCTTTTTCCACTTTCAGCTTGAATATTTTTATTAATTTTTGAAATTTATGTTTGTATATTTCTTAATCAGACAGCTCAAATCTTGACTACACTACCTGGTCATAAAGTTTCTGTGAATTGTACCCTTTGGCTTCCCAATAGCAAGTTTGCATTCAAAGGTACTGCCTTTTAAAAAAAAAGAACTTACAGCCTGTTTGGATGGTTATTACCAATTGTATTGTATTATGTTGTTAGTTTAAAATAAAATGTTTGTTTTGATTGTTCCTTAAATTTTATTTTATTGTAGCGTTAAATTCATCTTTAGGTAAGACGAAACGTCTCATTTTGTATAAAACCGATTTGGTGGGATCACACGTTACCTTGTATTGTGTTGTTAGTTTAAATATAATGTTTGTTTTGATAGTACCTTAAATTTTATTGTATTGTATCATTTAATCTTTAGGTAAGATGAAAAGTCCCATTTTGTTTAAGACCGCCTTGGTGTGATCTGTCATTCCCTTTTTTTTTCTCATTTTGTTTTTTCTTATCATATTTTATCCTTAACCATATTTTTTATGGTAACTCCACCCCATACCCTATTTTTACTTGTAGATTTATCTTTCAAATTATTGATGTGTGACATTATGTAACAACGGAAAATAATTTAATCTATCCGGTCATTGTATCCATCAAAATAATGCAATACGAGACATTATGAAACCACAACCATCCAAACAAAGTGTTAGATATTTTTTTTGAAACTGGTAACATGTAACAAAATGTTAGATATTTGTGCTTATATTTGGCCTTGATACAGTTGTTCCAACATAGTTAGTTAGGTTGCAGAATTGGAGAGTTAGGTGATGGAAGCTAAGTACTCCATTTTAATTTATGTGTTATTTTCTTTTTTAGTCTTCGTAAAAAAGAATGCCTCTTTCTATATATACCAACTCATTAAATCCAACATATTACATGTCATTTTTAAGATCACAAGATTTAAAAAATCTCCGTTACTTTCTTAGCGTGCATAGTCAAAACTAAGACACTCAAATTGAAACGGAGGGAGTATAATTTGTGTTGCTATAAGTGGTGTAAATAATGGTTTCATTAACTAATTAGGTTACTTCTAACTTATTTTACTTGTCTAGTCTTAGTTATAAAAGTTAGAGGTTGTGGAGGACTAGTATCATTAGCTGTTCATATTACAATACTTCAGCTGAAAAGCAGGGGATGAAAGATCTAAGGAACCTTAATTTACTAATATTATGTTAGATCTTTTACTTACTCATAATTTTTACCCTTTTTCACCCGAGTATGGCTTTTGCACTTAACTTAGTTGTTCTATAACATTCAAAAATTACCTGCTTCACTAATCACCTTTTCTGTTGAGTCGCTAAATATGTAAATATTTTACATGTCTTTCGGGAACAGCTTCTACCTCCATGAGGTAGGGGTAAGGTCTCGTACACTCTACCCTCCCCACGCTCCCTGTACCCCACCTGTGGGATTACACCGGGTATGTTGTTGTTGTTGTAATGACTGGATATTCAAGCTAAATGTAAATAGTTTGCTAAATGTACAAACAATGAGCAATTTATAAAACGTTCTTTTTCCTTATTGTTGGTGAGAGAAAAGCTGTAATTATCTTCTTTTTATTTCTGTAGTGTATTATCGAATATCACCTTATAAGGTAAGGATAAGTTTTGCATACACACTACCCTTCTCAGACCCCACTAGGAATATTGTTGTTTTAGTATTATTGAATATGAGAATGCACCCAAATTATTTCCTTTTCTAGAGAAGTTTTTATTTCCTCGCTTCTATGAACAAATGTTCCGAAGGTTTGTCACTGCAGCTTCTATCAATTATTAAGTAAAGCTTTGTGTATTGCAGCTAAGCAGCTGGAACAACATTTTTTGCTTTCTGGAGATGCGGAAGGTGTAATAATTTTGTGGGAGTATTCTCTTGTGGATGCGAAGGTAGTCATTTGCTTGTTCCAACATTCTCTTGTTACCCTACACTGATTCCCTCAACCCCCAATAGGAAAGAATGATACACTAAAAAATGTTTCATTTTCTTGGATTGAGAGAGAGGGGGAGGGGATGAAAAGATAGTTTGAGATGGTAAGCCAGTATCCTTTATATATACCTAAAAAATTATTTTAACCATGTATAAATCATATAATTTTCCGCTAAAGGGGGGTCAGATGACCCCCCTCATTGTAAGGTGGCTCCGCCACTGACCCTACACTGATTCCCTCAACCCCCAATAGGAAAGAATGATGCACTAAAAAAAGTTTCATTTTCTTGGATTGAGAGAGAGGGGGAGGGGATGAAAAGATAGTTTGAGATGGTAAGCCAGTATCCTTGAAACTTGTCACCAAGACTATAGAATGGACAGATAAAATAGCTACAATTTGTTTTCTGATTTTCTTATTATTCTTCTTAAAGATGTATTTGTCTCTTTACCTTTTTCATCAAAAACATGTATTTGCCTTTAAGTCCTTCATATTTTCTTGTCTTAAAAACACAATGCTAATATAGCATCTCTTTTCTCTGAGTCCTGAATTTTCTTTTGTCTTCCTTGAGTGGGTAAAAGAAGGCATTTAGTTGTAGTCTTTGCTTGAGAATTTAAAGAAACAACACTTGATTAATGTTCAATTACAGCCAGTTCTCCTGCTTGACTAATTATATTTTTGCCGATAGTGAAGATATGTCTTACAAGTGCCACAAGCCCACAAAAAAGGTGTTACCTGCATCACGGCGATCATGGTGTCTCAGCAAAAAGCTGTTTTTGCATCTGCATCCTCTGACGGCACTGTGAATGTATGAAGTGTTTTTTTCATGCTCTTTGATCTCATTAACTCGCTTCATGTACATTTCGTTGTTGTCGTGCTGGCAGTTCGGGGATCGATGAACTGGGAAGAGATTGGCTGCACTTAGAAATCCTTGATGTCAATATCTTGGACTAGTTCTTATGGAGTTTCACCATATATAAAGCATGATTACTGTCAGTT